TTTTTACAAAAAACCTGGGGAAATGCATACAGAAATAGGGTGACCAGATGCCTGAATAGGGGAATCTCAAGCAGGAGTAGAGAGGTTATTTTATCTCTGTATTTGGCACTGGTGCAACCACTGCTGGAATACTGTGTCCAGTTCTGGTGTGCACAATTGAAGGAGGATATTGATAAATTGGAGAGTGTTCAGAGAAGAGGCACAAGACTGATTAAAGGATTATAAAACATGCCTTATAGTGATCGACTCAAGGACCTCGATCTATTTAGCTTAACAAAAAGACTGTTAAGAAGTGAGTTGGTTATAGACTGTAAGTATCTACATGGGGAACAAATAGTTAATAATGGGCACTTCAGTCTAGCAGAGAAAGGTAGAGCATGAGCCAACGGTTGGAAGTTGCAGCTAGACAAATTCAGACTGGATATAAGGCATACCTTTTCAATGGTGAGAGGGTTATGGTGTTTTTCTAAAAGCTTTTTCTAAAAGCTATCCTCTAGGAATTATTTGGGGAAAGTTCTATGTCTGCGCTATACAGGCGGTGAGACCAGGTGATCACCGGATCCCTTCTGGCTTTATCATCTCAGAACTAGGTACATCAGTTCACATGCAAAATTCTCATTGAATTCCATAGGTGTCCTTGCCCTGTGGCTTGTGGTGCGGGCTGCAGCAGGGGCCATACAACCCCTCTCGTAGCTTCCTAGGGCCCCCTCTCATGGCTCTGTGCATCTGTCTGTCATTGTCGTCCTCTCCCTCCCCCTCCCCCCCCCCCCCCGCCCGCCCTGCTCACCCAATGTGTCCTGATATTTCACTCTTGTGATCTGGGTCACCCTACTCCTGAGGTCCCTTCCAACCCTGATATTCTCTGATGCAGTATGGACGTCATGGATAATTCAGTCCAATGGAGAGAAACAGAATCAAAAACACTATTTTATTTAAACACCTTCCACCCCCCCTCTCCTCCCCCATCCCCTCTTGAGGACTCCTGACCAACTTAACAGCACAATACATATGCTAACAAACAAAGCTTTTGTTTGTTTGTTAGCGTGTGTATTGTGCTTTCAAAGCCCTATAAAGAATGAATGCTCCCCCTAGCCCTGTTCTGCTCCTTAAAGGAGCAGAGCGCAGCCCCACCCCCCACTCTGGGGGGGGGGGGAGTCGAGCCCCAAGTCTTTCCGGTGCCCCAACCCACTAAAAATCTCTTGCCGGTTCTTTGCACTCGAGGGTACTGCCCTCAGGTCCCCGCTCACCCTGACGTGCGTCGCCGACTCCGTCCCAGCCCCCAGCTATCGCTGGGGTCTCAACAGCACCAACACTAAGGAGACCGGGAGCAGCTTGACCTTTAACCCCATGACTTGGGCTCAGCAGGGCACGTACGAGTGCCGGGCTCACAACCCCGTCACCAGCCGCACTGCCTGGGTGTCTGTTGCCGTGTGGGTGACAGGGACGGGTGAGTCCCCAGGATGGAGCAACGCGCTGCAGACACACGGATCCCAGTGCTGGCACCAACGCCCCAGCGGGCTTAGTACTGGGTGCTCCCCCCTGGCAGTCAGTGCTGTCCCCAATGGGTGCTAGGGGGTGCTGGGCTGCAGGGAGTGGGGTGGGGGGATTGTGGCTGAACCATCTGATCCAAATCCCCTCCCCCC